TGAAGAAAGTTGATCAAAAACAAAACCAATACTATGAAGAAATAATATGAAGAGGAGAGAAGAGATTTGTTGTTTTTCTTGTTGTTTTTCTTATTGTTTTTCCGAGAATGTGAAGGGCTGCTTATATAGGGGTCTTAGAGAGCCGTTACAAATCCTAGCAATCAATACAGTAACGTACGCCATAATGTCGACCGTTACGCAATAAACCCGTAATTAATACGGTAACGTTCGCCATAATTATATATCCATTATGCACGTATTAATTGCTAAGGAAAATAAAATATGTAAAACATGTTAAATTACCTTTTCTTTAATAAAATATCCAACAGTCCCCCCGAAAAGGCAATATTAACTGAAAACTCAGTAATCAATAATCAATAAATAAATCAAGAAATCATAAAACAAATATAGGTTGGACAACGTTTCGTATCGTGAATTCGGGAGAGGTAGCTTCCGGCTTTGAACCTTTCTTTAGTGAGTTCATCGCCACCTGAGGGACATAATGGACTAGGCCTTGAATTAGGCCCCTTTAATCAGGTATTAATGAAAACACACACACAATACGCTTCATCTATTGAGCAAAGCGGGTTGAGCGTTAAAGGCCATGCTCACAATAAACCGAGTCATGAGAGTTTCTAGGGGTTAGCCCAACCCCTCCTAACCGCGGCCATCACAGTTCCTCTCACGTAGGTAAGTCCTCAAAGGGTACTACAGCTGTTTATTTAATACCCTCCATAATACACACGTTGGACTTATTAAGAGTAAAACTCAGCCTAGCCAGCTGTATCATAAGAGCATCGTCATCATAGAGAAGGGGTAGTAGCACAAGCTACATAGTGATATATGAATATATTTGGGTCGATGCTCCACACGAGTATCACTAGTCCAGCTTGTTTCTATCACATTGAATCAATATTGGGACTACGTCTCCAAATAAGGGTTGGGTTGCCGCTGTCAGTGACCTCATCTATGGGCTTAACCCCATCTCCCTCGATAAATCCAGAACACACACTCCTGGATAATCCCTTAGTCAAAGGGTCATCAAGATTTTTCTTAGACTTTACAAAGTCTAGAATCACAACTTTGCCTAGCAGGCGTTGTCTTTATTTATCAAGTTCTTATTTTGTAATTAGTCCATCATATTGTTTGAAATTGACATTAGGTCATTGTGTATGATCATAAAAGATCATAGTCTATGTCTGAAGATGTAAACACATAGTGTTTGTGCAGATTAGGATTTTACCTTAATATCTGAACATTTCAAACTAATGTGGAACTAAAATTCTGCAGTTATGCATATGCACATACATGAATGAAATTAATAATAGATACATGCAGAGCATTCAAGAGAACAATATATTTCATACTTCATAATTCATATGCATAAAATTTTTAAAAATTCTTCTATTATAAGAGGTTACAAAATGGTTGCCTACAAAGGAGACCTTCCAAATTTAAATCGGTTGCCTACAAATGAGATCTTCCAAATTTAAATTGGTTGTCTACAAAAGAGACCTTCCAAATTTATGTTGCCATTTAGTACCACCTCTTATACAAAAAATAATAATAATAATATTTGTACATACGTGCTTTAAATTTTACAAGTGCATTCTTGCATAAAACCTTGTAACTAATCATATAACAAATGCAAGTTATCTAAAAAGACATATGAACATTTATTGCAATATCCATCATAACGCAATAAAAGAGATGAACTTTACATTTGAAGATTTAAAATATAATCCACCATATAAAATAGAATTTTAAAAAATGCACCTCTTTGATTTGGTTCGCTCATATATTGATCATTTATCATTAGGCAATATATGATGCAAGAAGCGTAATTAAATAAATGCATATGAATTTTTCTCACAATTCCGGATCTCTTATTCCAAACCAAAAACTCCTAAAGCGAAAAAATTAAAGTTTTACCCAGGTAGTTAGCTAGGTAAGGATAGTAATAGAGGTTGATCAAAGATCAATTAAGTACCTCGTTCCTTGCAGAATGAGTTACGCAATCCCTAAACATTGCCTTAGACACTAACTAATCTAAGAAAACTTGAATCGGTTCACTCAATGAGTTTTTGTTCCTTAACAGTATATGTGAATAGTAACTTCAAAAAAAAATTCCTGCAAACATTTAATTCGAATAGAGAATTTGCAGGGGTAAAACTAAGAATTCGTATAATTCGTTGTTTCCGTGACTTTTCCAAGCCAACCAGAGGCATGAGATTTGTATCAGAATATAAAAATGCTTTATAGGCCCACAAAAGTAAATAGCATTGATAGATATACCTACTGCAAACAACTTCCACATAAGTTATAGAACAAATCTGCATTCACTTTTACCACCTTCTGTACTAAGCTTATTAGATGCATAAATACTCCAAAGTATGAAATTATTGATTGAAGGCATCATATTAATAGCTTAAAGAAATGAAAGCATTAAACCATGAATAAATTCAAATACTTCAGAGCATATATATATCCAGAGTTTGTTCTCTTGTCAAAACCATGTATATGAGACTTTCAAGAATAAATATATGTACACTGCTGCAAATTTATAGCATGTTTTTATTAGCAAATAATATTTGATCATTACAAACCTACATATGGTTGTATGTCAGTGTATTTCTATGATTGTTTGTCGTTGCAATGCACATGAAACAAAGGTTGAGACAAATAAAGTGAATGATATAAATCAATAGCCAAATTCATAAAGAATTTCTAACTGCTATATAGGATTACATATTCCTTTCCAATTACAAGTTACAATTAATTATAATTATTTAAGCAATAATTATCAACAATAATTAAAACTAATTACTGCAATTATAAATCAAATAAACAGTAACCAAAATTGAAAATTTTTTAAATTAAAACAATAGATAAGCAAGCAATTAGCAATAATTATTTTGCTAAATAGTAACATTTTTAATGAACAGTAAATGAAATCTTTTAATATGAACAGTAAAGTCTTTATTTTCGGAATGAACATTAATAGTTACAATTTTTTTAAAACTTTATAACAACAAATCAATAATACTAATAGATAAACAAATATATAATTAAAGCAATTATATTTTCTTTGTGCGAACAGTAACTATAATTTTTTTGAGAATTTTCGGGCGAACAGTAAACTATTGATGAACAGTAATTTTTAAAAAAAAATTTCCCCATTTTCCGGATTTTGAAAATTTTGCAAATGAGCAGTAACTTTTAATATAATTTTTCCGGATTTAAATTAAAAGTTATAAAACTAATCAATCTTCTAGATTGTTAGAAATTTATCAAATAATTAAGATTATAGCATAAAATAAATCTGAATAAAATAAACAATTAAATTTGACCTGATCGGGAGCAGTCGTGTATTCACTGCCCTAGAAGATTGAGGACCCGCCTATCGCCCTGGCGCAGATGACCCCCTCTCCCCTAACGGTAAAACCCCACGAAATCGGCCGACCTCTGTACTCAGGCGAGAGTACAGATCTTTTGCTCAGATGAAGAAAGTTACCCAAAAAAAAAAACCAATACTATGAAGAAATAATATGAAGAGGAGAGAAGAGACTTGTTGTTTTTCTTGTTGTTTTTCCGAGAATGTAAAGGACTGCTTATATAGGGGTCTTAGAGAGCCGTTACAAATCCTAGCAATCAATACAGTAACGTACGCCATAATGTCGACCGTTACGTAATAAACCCGTAATTAATACGGTAACGTTCGCTATAATTATATAGCCATTATGCACGTATTAATTGCTAAGAAAAATAAAATATGTAAAACATGTTAAACTCCCTTTTCTTTAATAAAATATCCAACAATACTTACGATATTCATATACTAATTACGAATGGAGGCACTGACACAGATATGCCTAAGTAAAGAAAAACTCATTTTGGTATTCGTTAAAATCACATACCGATACGAATCTAAATACAGAGGCACTTTCAAAAGCACATAAAGATACAAAATAAATATGAGAAAACAGGAAAATAATGAAAAATAATAATAATTCATGTGACACGAGATAACTAGCTCCTTGATATGTTTATCACATTTGAAAAACTAAGATTAAATCTTTTGACTATCATTAGCCTCAAATTCATCAATCTATATAAAGAATAAAACAGTTACCGATTAAATCTTTTGACTATCATTAGCCTCAAATTCATCAATCTATATAAAGAATAAAACAGTTACCAGTATACGACAAATCTCTATTCAAACATTTCATCTCCACGTTCATAAACATTTCATATCCGATACGCATATGAAGTCACTGCATTTAGACACGAAGCGGGCGTGGATACGAATACCGGAATACGTCCTTCTGTGCCGACCTCGCGCCGTTAAAAAGACGCGGTAAAAATCCTCGAACTGTTATTAGTAGGTTTTACTACTGGGATCCAAAATATAAGACCAACAGGGAAGACATATGAGGTGTCCTCCTTCTATTACATAATAAGCTGACTATCATTAATGATGACCAGCTTATTATGTAATAGGAGGAGGACACCTCACATGTCCTCTCTATTGATCTCATATTTTGGGTGCTTGAAGAATTTTTCTTACCCTCCACAGTCGGCTTACCGGATGTTGTATAAGACTTGCACCCACGATACAGCCGGTAAAAGCCTTCGCCCAGATCGCCTCACCGGTCCGCTCCGCGCAGAAGTTTCCCGTAGGAACGCGGGTCTCGGCTTGAAAACACCCCCCCTCCCCTCATTTCTTTACCATTTTTTTTTCATCTCCCAAGTATCTCGGCCTCCTCTCTCTTCGAACTTAACAAAAAAGGTACCATCTTTTTTCCTCTCCTCCTCTCTAATTTTTAACCAAAAAAAAAAAAAAGATCTTCTCGGTTTTGATAAAGATCGTTGCTTGCAGCTGATGGTTATCGATTCGTCAACGATGAATAGCCTGCGACTGGAGGACTTCTTTTCTGATCAGTCCCCGATGAACTCCTTCTCGATCCAAAACACCTAACAGCGCGGCTGCGGCGCGTGCGGAGGAGAGGGAGCGGTGTTTCCTAGTACTTTCGTCTCCGCCTCCGCCGCCTCCGCAGTCGGTCCCGTCATCCTCCTCAGCGCGCCACCGCGCCGGAGGGTCGCAGCCCGAGGACCCCGACGGTGTTTCTCTCGACATCGCTCTCAACTACATCAGCAGCATGCTGATGGAGGAGACGTCGACGAAAAGGTCAACTTTTATACGCGAGAAATCGCGGCGATCATTCATGCCGCCGAAAAGCCCTTTATGATATCTTGGGCGAGAACTACCCGCCGCCGCCGCCGACTCCTCCTCCTCCGCCGGCCGCGGCGAATGGAGTCCCCCGTGGGGTTTCTAATGGCGGAGTAGTCGATAGTAGCGCTGCGTAGTTGGGTCTGTGATCCCATTGTACCGGAGCTCGATCGGTTATGGGAATTTCGTGCAGAAGAATTCGGTATCTAGGACTTCCGAGTTCGATCCTGCTTGGCAATTCAGAAGGGGGGTCGAAGAGGCGAGGAAGTTTCTGCCGAGCGACGAGAAGCTGGTTATCGACTTGGAGGATACGAAGGAGGAGGAGAGGAGATTTGCTGAGGTGAAGCTCGAGAAGGAAGAAAGAGAATATTACATCAGCGGAGGATCGAGGGGGAGGAAAAACCCCAACTCCGACGACCTTGATTTGGTTGAAGGCAGGAACATCAAGCAATCGGCAGTCTCTTCCACGTCCGAGGAAACAGTTCGATCGGCGATGTTCGATATGGTGTTGCTCTGCCAAAAGGGCAAGAACTGCACCAACGGAGTCTCTGCGCTTCAAGAAGCTTTGAGGAACGAGGTGAGCAAAAACTCGAAAAACAACAGCCCGAAAGGGTCAGCGAAGTCCCGGGCGAAGAAGCAAAGCAAGAAGGAGGTAGTAGACTTGAGAACCCTGTTGATTCACTGCGCTCAGGCTGTGGCTGCTGATGATCGTCGGAGTGCGAATGAGCTTTTGAAGCAAATCAGGCAGTATTCTTCCCCTTTTGGTGATGGGTCTCAGAGGTTAGCTCATTGCTTTGCTGATGGGCTTGAAGCTAGGTTAGCCGGGACCGGGAGCCAAATCTATCACTCTCTTGTTGCTAAGAGAACTACAGCTACTGATATCTTGAAAGCCTATCAGCTTTATCTTGCAGCTTGCCCGTTTAAGAGGATATCACATTTCTTCTCAAATCAGATCATTCACAATGTATCGGAGAATGCTTCTAGGGTTCATATCATCGATTTTGGTATCTACTTCGGTTTTCAGTGGCCTTGCCTTATTCAGAGGTTGTCTTCGAGGCCTGGAGGCCCTCCAAAGCTTAAAATCACCGGCATTGATGTTCCTCAACCTGGGTTTCGCCCTACAGAGAGGATCGAAGAGACTGGGAAGAGGTTAGCTGATTATGCTCGAACTTTCAATGTTCCCTTTGAATACAATGCCATTGCATCAAAATGGGAGACAATTCGTGTAGATGATTTGAAGATCGATAAAGATGAGGTGCTCATTGTCAACTGCTTGTATCGGTTTAGAAATCTAGTAGATGAGACTGTGGTTGTTGATAGCCCTAGAAACATGGTGCTTGATACGATAAGGAAAGCGAACCCTCATGTCTTCATCCATGGAATTGTGAATGGATCTTACAGTGCTCCGTTCTTTGTGACTCGGTTCCGAGAAGCTCTGTTTCATTTCTCTGCATTGTTCGATATGCTTGAGACTAATGTGCCTCGAGAGGATGCTCAGAGGTTGTTGATCGAAAGAGATCTCTTTGGCCGAGAAGCACTTAACGTGATATCTTGTGAAGGTTCAGAGAGAGTTGAGAGGCCAGAGACTTATAAGCAATGGCAGGTTCGAAACCTGAGGGCAGGGTTTACACAGCTTCCGTTAAACATGGAAATTATGAAGAAGGCAAGGGATAAAGTGAAGGGGATGTATCATAAAGATTTCGTTATCGATGAAGATAGTCGATGGCTGCTTCAGGGTTGGAAGGGGAGGATAATCTATGCAATATCAGCATGGAAGCCTAATAGAGTTTGACAGAATGAAATTCTACATGAAATACATTCTAGTATATGATATGTTTAAGAAATTGAGGCTTGCCTTGGTTTCTTGGGAGTAGTTCATTAACTGATAACAAGGTATTACTCAATTTTGTTGATAGTTTCTTTCGTGCCGATCCTGTTGAAGTGACTTGAACTTTTTGATCTGAATGCAGGTGAGTTGGCCTCATTTCAAGGGGGAAGATAGACTATGACTTTCTTTGGCTGCTGATTTGTGTGCTGCTGACTTTCTTGGGCAGCTGAAGATGATATGTGGACGATGACTGAAGACTTGCAAAGGACTCAAGCTAGGGCAATGTAGTCATGTAATGGTTAGCAGTAGCAGCATAGTAGTAATATTAGTGTGTACCCCGTGCAAAGCACGACCCCTGTTTTTTTTTAAACATTGCATTTTGAACCTGCCTCCTCCTAAGCTAGGACAATGTAGTCATGTAATGGTTAGTAGTAGTAGTATAGTAGTAATATTAGTAACATTCCAGCTAGTAAGGATGTGATATTTTGCCTAGTTGGGAAAAAAAATTCTAGTCAGGTTGTGTTCTTTGCAGGTGATTGTTTAGCAAACTCACTGTAACTTCTAAGAAATGGAAAAAGAAGAAAAAAAGTGGGGTATTTGTATTCACTGACTAGAAATTGTCGGATCAGACTGTAACACGTGTTGGTGGTATTCATCAAGCATATGCTTGTGCTTATGAATAATAATGTTCTACTGATAAAAGTTCAGATATTCACCTCTTTCAGAGTATATATAGATTTGATGGGCAAGGAATGGTGGTGGGCCGCAGTGATCTCTGGGACCATTTTGATGCCTGTTGCAGTCATCAAGAGCACAAATTAATCTCATGTGTAATGTGTAATCATAGTGGCAACTCCTCTTTCTTCCCAGTGTATTAATTAATTTAATTTAGGTTAAATTTGACAAAATCCTCATTAAATATGGGGCATTTTGCTCAAATCTAAGGAAAAACATCATGTATCCTCGACTAACAGAAAGCCCTTGTAAGTTAAAACACATGATTCGATAACATTGTAAAAAGGGTTAATTGCCAATGGACCTCTTTTGGTGAAATGTTTTGACTCTTTTGAAACTATTATTAAAAAAAAGGCAATTGAAGACCTATTCTCACCGATAAAACTATAAGGGGCCTACCCGCCTCCTCAAACCTTTTTAACGATTTTAAAACTAAAAATTTACAAAAATAGAACTACATAGGTCTATTCGTCATTGGGCGATGCTGCAAGGGTCTATTCGCAATTAATCCTTCCCGAAAAGATGCTTTTCAAGTCGTTCTTTTCTCACATAAAAATCTTATCTCATCCAGCAAGCACATCAACAATACAAACATTAAGCAACACGAAACGCTACCTGAACTAGAGCCTTTTAACTTCCATCGCTCCATTAATTAAGCAACAATCACATCCTTTTCTTACTCGGTTTAACTTAAGCGGATATCCTTAAGGACCTCAGCCACCCAAAGTCATTTGACATCGTGTTTGTTGGGGAGCAGGCACGCCTAGCGCAGAATCAATAGCTTTGGTCAAAATCTAATAATCCACTCCTTCAAATAATTCAACCAGCAGTCCTATCAGAATCCTGCTACCACTGCCAGGAAAATAACATGCCTAAATGTTTAAAAGTTAAATAACGATAAAGACACACCCTCTACCACACACCAAGTGCACTGGGCCCACATGAGGTTTTAAAAATTAAAATCTCATGTGGGCCCAATGCATTGTAGCAAGAGAGGTGGTGTGGTTGGGAGTGTGGCAGAGGGTGTGCCCCTAGTGCCTCCCTTAAAAGTTTAGGTTGGGTAAGTTGTGCCAATAATTTTTGAATGACAAGATACAGTATACTAATGCTTTATATATAACTACCTGCTCCCATTGAATGCATGATCAATGAACATCATCCACTTTCAACATTACCAGGTGCTTTTAACTATTGTAATCCTATCAAGACCTTACTCCTGAATGGAATAGCTTGCTTTCACCCTCAAGACTCGCAAATTTTGCCTGTGGGCAACATCTGCCAAAATTTCACAAAGGGCACGTCAGGGGGAGAAAAAAGAAAAAATAGAGGAGGCAAACCAGGGGTCTATCTGCAACAAGGGAACTATATGGGTAGCAAGTGCAAAACAACGATACTACAGGGGGCCTACGTGCAATTAACCCAAATTGTCTTCAGCTCCAAACAGGTTGAACAAAGGAAAAGGCAGTGAGGAGGAGGTTAGGGCCCGTTTGGATTGCCGAAGATTGTTGGGTATTTCTGACAGCTTGCAGCTTTCCGTCCAAAACGCTGCAAAATTGAGCGAATTGGGTGGAAAACTGGAATATGTCAGTGAAATGGATGGGGGTAGCATCAGAAAAAGAACTGGCGCTCTGACACACTATGTCAGCTTTCAACTCCTTTCCGTCTCAAAAATTTTTAACCAAACGCGCCCTAGTAAACTAGTGAAGATTCTCAAGCACTGTCAATTACTTACAGCTGAAAAAGGAAATAGTGAATAGAGAATTGCGATTTCGCAGGATTAGAATGGCTATACAAGCTCACAAACAATCACACAGATCACAGCTTTATGTCCCTGTAAGTTGCCTCATTTAGCCAGGCTCATCTAGGATAGGCAAGACATGTTTCTTGTGGCTTGTGGCACTTTTCATTTAAAATCCTAAACAATGAGGCCAACTGCTAGGACCAAGGAAAGGAATTTATATATTTATTCATTCTACCATCTTGTGCCCTTGATTTGCTCCACATGCTCATATTGAACTGTAGTTGACTGAATGAAATTCTGTTGGGACCCTGACCCATTCTCACTTCTCAAGACATAATTCGATGGGTAAAAAATCTCGCATAACCCCCCGCTAAACTTTATAAATCAGAAAACATCACTTTAACTTTCAAAGCTCTACAAAAGCACCCTGAACTAATGAAAAATCTCGTAAACGGCGTTAACGTATAGAGTAGTAAGTGTAAACACGTCAGTGTTGTTGTTGTCGTCTTTTTTCCGCAGGTGAATGTGCTACATTCAAATCTTTCACTACCCATGTTGATTTATCATCATTCAAACTTATTACTCTACCCGTTAACAACATTTATCAGATCTCCCAATAATTGAAGGGGCTTAAGTTTTAACAGTTCGGTGGGGTTTACTAAAGTTTCGGGGGGTTTTGTGGAAATTTACCCTTATTCTAATTATGGGTCCAATTCTGGTACCAAGACTCCAATATCCACCACATGACCCACATGCTAATGTGACCTTTCCTAAATGGTCCATGCCTCACAAATCTAGGTCTCCCTATACTTGGGTTTCAATCAATCATCCAGGTCAAACATGTATCTGCTTCTATAGTTGGACAAATGCTTGGTTAAAAGAATCAATAGCCAATTAACCCTAAGAAGTTAGTTCCCTGTACTCAGGCCCAGCAAGCAATCACGTTCACATACCTCCTCGTGTGTACGGTACACTCTCTGTGCAGAAAACATGATGCGATAAAGCAACATCCTCTGAAATATCTCAGACTGAGCCAAAACTTTGTGATATTATGAAAAGGAATAAACATTAAAGTGTAGTCACTTCCCTTTTCAGTGGCTGGTCATATATGATTGTCTTTGGTGCTCTCATAAATTCCTGATATTTTCCTGTTACTACAGCAAATAATGGGTCAATTACCAGAGTAGCGTTAGGTTATCATGGTGTTTTTCTTGTTTTCATGGTGTTTTTGTCAAAAACAAAACATCATGTGTTTGGAAACTATGGTATTTTTTGAGTTAAAACATCTTCAAATAAAAAAACACATTAATTATATCAAAACACCTTTTAGGTTTTTGCGTTTGGCGTTTTGGTTTGAGTTTGAGGGGATGTTAATATAATATCTAGCATAATATATTAAGTATAATTAATATAATTATTATCAGCGTGCTTATTATATCATATCATATTATATTATAAATAAATAAAATATATTAATAGTTAAATATCTTATATAATAATATATTAAATGCTAATATTTAATATGCTGATAATATATTATACAATATATTGTAAAAGTAATATAATAATGAGTAATAATAATATACAAATATACTAATACAAAATACAATAAAATAATTTGTTAATAATAAATAATAATACATTAATTATACAATAAAATAAATATTATACAATCACTATAATATTAATAATGTTTTAAAAAATATTATATAATATATTAATAATTATAATATGTAATACAATAGTTATATATTTCATAATATAATAATAATATACCATATAGCATATATTACATAATAATGTAATATATATAGAGAAAAATAGGTATGCTTGGTACCAAGCATAAGTTTTTGTGTTTGATAGTGAGGTGGCATATTCCTCCCACTCATTGAAATCGGGGCCCACATTCACATGGGTTAGTGAGTGGTTGGGAATTGGAATAAGTGGATGGGAATAGGACACCTCACTACCAAGCACAAAATTTGTGCTTGGTACCAAGCATGCCCATTTTTCTCATATATATATATATATATATATATATATATATATATATATATCGAGAAAAATAGGCCATGCTTAGGTACAAAGCAAAAAAAAGGGTTTGTGTTTTAGCGTAGTGAGGTGATGCTGATCCCATTTTGAATGAAGTGTGGAGGGCGATTATGCTCACCTCACTACCAAGCACAAAATTGTGCTGCGTACAGCCATACCTATATTTCTATATATATATAATATATTAATATATATATATATATATATATATAATATAATGTGGTTGTGTGTGTGGTGCTGTGTGCTGTGCTGTGTTGTAGTGTGTGAAAACTTGTTGTCAACCTTAAGTGCCGATTAGCGAAATAGTGTTCCACACAAAGTTTTTAACCACTCATATGTTAGGGATCTCATGTATTATATAAAAATGTGTTTTATATTAATAAAGTTGGCTACAACTTTGTGGTGGACATCAACCTTAAGTTGATAGCGAGTCCATTGCTTTCTCTCTCTCTCTCTCTTCTCTTTATATATTATATATTATATATATAGTATAGTATATACTATATTATATATATATATATATATATATAGCGGGGTCGAGACTATATAATTATATATATTAATGCGGTATCCTTGTCATAATCGGATGGCCGATTTCCGCCTTGACGCCTACGTGCGCACAATCCCCACCATCCTCATAAAGTAGCGAGAGTGTGTGGAATGTTGGTGGGGGAATGTTGTGCCTACTTATGAGGATGTGCGGGTATGATGCCACATTGGCGACAAGGCAGGCAAAATATCCTCCTATGACAAGGATACCCATTAATCTCATATATATGTATATAATATATATATATATAATACTATAATATATATATATATAAATATATATACTATATACTATATTATATATAATATATACGCAATTATGGGTATGCCTTGGTACCAAGCACAAAAAGTTATGCTTGGCTGTGATGTGTCTAACATCCCCCTCCATTCATTCAAATATACTGCCGGACCACATCACAACAGGTAGTGAGCTGGATGCAGGATGTGACACATCACTACCAAGCACAAATTTGCCTGCTTGCGTACCAACGATACCCATTTTTCTCATATATATAATATATATATGAGATAGAAGAAGAAGCAGAAATATGAGTATGCTTCGTACAAGTACAAAAAATTATGCTTGGTAATGACGTGTGCACATCTCCCTCCACTCATTTAAATATGCAGGACCACATTCACATCGGCGTAATGAGCTGGAAAATGCAGGATGCTGACACATCACTACCAAGCACAAATTTGCTGCTTTCGGCTACGCAAGCATACCATTTTTCTCATATAATATACTATATATATTAATATATAATATATAATAATAGATATATTATATATATATATATATATACTATATAATGTGTGCCTGTGTGTGTCGTGTGCTGTGTGTGCTGTGTATTATAATCCAATATCAACTTCAGAATCGAGGGAAATAATACATATTAATACCAACAATACAGGAAAATTAATGTGTTAATAATAAAATAATAGCTATAATTAGCCATACAATATATATATATATATATATATATATATATATAGTATATATATATATATATATATATATATATATATATATATGTGTGTTGTTGTGTGTGTGTGTAGCCTATTATAACCTAGATATCGCAACTTCAGAATCGAGGGAATAATATATTAAACTTCAATATAGCCCCTAAAATTAATTTGTTAATAATAAATATATTATATTAATTACTTACAATATTATATATATATATATAGTAAAAAATATATTATATAGTAAAATAATTTATTAACAATAAAATAATATATTGGTAACAAATGCTAATGCAATAATAATATATTCATAAAATAATAATATTAACTTATATCATAAGTTATTAATAAATTTTAATATATTAGATATTTTATATAATAATGCAATATTATATATATATATATAGTAAAAAATATATTATATAGTAAAATAATTTATTAACAATAAAATAATATATTGGTAACAAATGCTAATGCAATAATAATATATTCATAAAATAATAATATTAACTTATATCATAAGTTATTAATAAATTTTAATATATTAGAAACTATAATATGTAACATAATGTTAAAAGTATTAATAACATATTAAATACTAGTAATAATATACAATTAATAATATATTAATTAACTAATAATACAAGTAATAATTGTTGGGTTTTATATAATATAATTAATTAATAATATAATATAATGGTAATAATATAAAATTATATAATATAATTAATAATATTATATTATATTAACAATAGTAAAATATTACACAAATAATAAAATAATATCATTTTATATTTGTATTATATTTAATATAATAAAGTAAAATAAATATTATAACGTTTGAACCATAATATATTTTATTATAATTAATATTTAATATATTTACAATATATATTTAATGCTAATGTTATGAATGGTCAAACTAGTGTTGATAAAAAAATACTCACCGTGGTGTTTTAAAAACACTTTGGAGAGAACACAACAACATTGTGTTTTTTGATAAAAACACAGTATGAAAAACACCATGGTCCATGGTATCCAAACGACGCCCAAATATTTCTATGCAAGTTCCTGATAACAAGCATAACATGATTAATATCTAGTCATCAACGTTGATTTTAAGACTCATAATAGAAAATTTAGCTATAAATGTCAGATAATTACCAATATTGGATCAACCATATGCCTTGACCCTACATGTACACAACTTTAGAAGTGTTGGACATTGACCAAGCGCATGAGAGAATATGTTGAACCTTAAGAATGCAAGCAGATAATTCTAAACTTTTATTTCAAAAATAATAATTAAAACTACAAGCTACATTGACAAAGGAATTCCAAATGAATGTATCTGTAAGAGGTATGAAGATCATGAAGTTAAAATTCCAGCTATGTCACAAGAGAATAAACACCTCATATGATCAACTTCTTTTAGTCTGAGCTTTCACTGGTCTAAGTACATTCCAATCCAATTTTTGAGTTATTTTGTAAAGATGACTGTTCATTTCCATGATTCCATCCCCAGTTGAAGATTTCTGTAATTTACAGGGACATGGTATTTTGATGTCCATCTCAGATTGCTGTCCTTTTTGACCAGAATCATTGCCAGGTTATGCTGCATTTAAGTCAGGATACAATCGAAGATTTTGAATCCTCGATGTATTGTAGTAGTAAAAATAAAGTTTAATTAGAAGGAATCACCATATTAACTCTTCTCCAGAAATTGTTGTCTTGAACGCATTGGAAAAAAATTTCAGTTAGTGCATGTAAAGTAAAAGTTTAACTGTTAAAGCAGACAAGACATAAATCAAGGGTGTACAAAGAATGTAACTTGTAGAATTAACGACAGATATCAAACCGACTAGGTAATCTGCACAAGCTAACTTCTGCGATAAAGAATTGTTCACGAGAGCATCAAGCGTGTGTAGTGAGTAACAATTCAAGTGGTATAATTAGCCGATTTATAACTTCAATGGACATTAATTAACTTAATATATAACTACATCACTCCCACGCTTCACCATAATTCTTAGAATCAGTAAAGAGAATACATAACTCCAAGGTACAATGCCAATCAAATACGAGAACTCCCAAAATAACGCAATAGCCAGGGGAAGTAACTAGTATTTGTACATTTGGTTTGTGGAGATGAGCTTCACCCCGTCCCAAGTTATACCTTCACACATAATAATTATTGACAACACTAGCATAGATTGTACAGTACAAGCCTAAGTAAAAAAAATGTTATTCGCGCATCACATGATGGATCAAGCATGTTCACATGTCTTTGACAAAGTAGGGAAGTAATAAGTAACTTGAGCTCCTAGACTCCCAAGTTTTCCATGTCCTGAAGGTTTTCCAATTAAATCTCGTTTCATGTCCCTCATGTTCAAAACATGAAAAATCAATTAGGTTACAACCGACATCTGCTAAAGCAATACATACTGTCCTTATGGAGAACAATGGTGGAACACCAAAAATCAACATAAGATCTCAGGTGACAGGACAAAAGAAACATACAAAAAAAGAAAACATTTGTTTGATTCTAGTGAATGATGTTTGATTCTTGCATTTGACGAACAATTGAAGCATCTTCATAAAATTTCTGAAACTTGCATCAATAGAAGGATTAAAACTCTGAAATAACATTCAATCCTTTAATGTACCTGGGTGATGATTTCCCTCCTTATCACTATGATGAGGAAAAGAGGAACAGATAACTCTTCTGTCTCGCAAACAAAAGAGATAAAACGTTTTTAAGGATTGACAATTACGTTCCAGTGCGAACAAATGATTTTCTCATATTAAACGTCCGAAATAACTCGTTTGGGATAACACAATAACTCCAAAGAGAGAAATAAATTAATGAAAAGGCTAAGATGAAATATTTAAGCTCTAGAATAGTCTAAAGCTAAAGAATTAGCAGAACTAATTAGACTTCTATAGATACTTTCCATTTAAATAAGCACTTCACAGAATTCAGAAAAATGGAAGCTGTAACAGGTTGAGAAACATATTTACCACATATATTGGATCAAATTACTAATAAATTGGCTAGATGTAATCACTTTGAAGAAATTTATATATCATGATGCGTCTGATTGAATTGGTAAGTCTTGTTCAATCTTCTCTTTTCTATTTCTTATATTAATTTTAATTAATTGTACTTTCGTAGCTTTACGTGTGACCAAAATGTGTATTCCTTCAACCATTGTTCATAAATGGATCAAATAACCAACAATTGGCTAGATGAAATTTCATGTGTGTTTTCATTTAATTCGCATAAGCAAAGTAGATGGAATTTGCTCTCACATCAACATGCCCCGGAAATCTTCCCTTCTCTCGTGAATTTCATTCACGAAGACAAGGATGAATATCTGTTCAACTTTCAATTCAACCAAACAAAAAGAATCCTGAATTTGAACTTAGTTAGCTAGGACTAGGGTTATGAGTGGGCTTGGTACAATCTTTCTCCTCAAAAACAACATATTCTAATGTTTTTTCTTAAGGAAATTATAATGAAAATTTACACCTCCTCTCATTAACACTATGCACACACATGTTTTTAAAATTGTTTTCATGCAAAAAAGTCCATATCTGACAAGACAAAACAATCTTCTCCAATATAATATATTTTACCTTTGCTTCAAGAAGACTTCACTAGTAGAAAAACGAATATCCTAGACGGTGCATCCTATACGGAATTTATTCCATGATTCCATCTAGTTTGAGGGCATCCCAAACGAAACAGTTTCGTCTAGGATGCTCCGTCTAAATTGAAAGCATCCTAGATAGAATACGTCGTCTAGGATGACATGTTGTCTTAAAATGTTCTTTTAGCTGTAGTAGGCCCCACTATCCTAGATGGAAAAAACTGTCTGGGAAGCATCCTAGACGAAATTTCCCTCTAGGATGGTGTTGCCCACTTCAATTAAAAAAAAAGGAAAATGATTTAATGGCCAACTCATTATGCAATAGGGAGGGGACACCTCACCTTTCCCCTCCCTTGGTCCCATATTTTGGGTCCCCGTAGCAGCACTCAAAAAAGAAACTAAAAGAAACCCTAATCCTAATCCCTTGAACCCGTCGCTAGAGATCCCTGGTCTTTTTCTCAGTCGTGCTCTCTCTCTACCTAATCTCTTTCTCAGTCGTGCTCTCTTTCTAGTCTCTTAGCCGCAAATTAACTCTAGAACTTTAGAGTTTTATTGCTACTAACATATTTTCTTCATATAAGGTTGATTTGCTTAAATTTCAGTGAGAATTTTTAAAAAGCTTTAGTTTGAGATTGAAGCGAGTGACCTTAGTAGAAAATGTGAGTCTTTTCTATTTGATATTAAACTTGCAATTGTTGGAAGTATGAACAGTAGATTATCACTAATAATAAAGTTTGGTTTCCCTCTTTCTATTAATCATCTATGTTATTCTTTGTGATTTTGAGTATTGATAATCATTTTTGTGGTGATTTTGAATCTCATGTTTAATCAACAATTTCATGATCAACAGCTAAAGAAAATTAATTCATAAATACACAGATAATTTTGAATATTATATAGATCTATAACATTAGTTCTTTTGATATAAACCAACAATGCTTATCTTAACTTCCTCAGATTATAGTCACATGATGATATAACGAATCTTATGTAGTTTTATGAATTTCACAGATAATGGAATCTGGTCCTACTAATAATCGTGTGAATATTGAGGATAACATAGAAATAAATTTATCTAGAACAAGGATTAGAAGAAGAATCTAATGCTATTCGTAAAAGGGCAAATGAATAGTTAACAAAAAGAAGAAAAGAATATTAATATCAAAAGCATAGAAAATGTTTGAACTTATCGAAATAAAGTCGGAGTAAAAGAAGTGTGGGGTAAAATATGCTGCGGAAAGAAATCATGATACTAAAAATATGTAAAGGTGCATGGATAGTTGCAAAATAGTACTAAAAGGATGTTGGGAAATTTTTTTATCTAATTTCAAATACTACATAAGCATGAGTCCTTCAATATTTGATTTTGATCTGGATAAATATAAGGATCTTATACTCTTGACCATCATTATGCATTATTTACTATGCCCGTTTGTGGAGTACGAAGGTATTCAAGTAATTTGCTCATATTTTTTTGAGCGTTAAAAACATACATCAAGAAATACGGCTATGACCGATGTTTCAGGAGAGAAGAATAAGGCTTAAAAACTTGAGTCAATTCCTGGAAGCATCAACTTAACATCTGATTTGTGGACATTCATAACCATTAAGGGTTGCTTACATTTTTCTCGTGAACACTATATTGACGATGAATGGAAATTGCAAAAACACATTGTTGTGCAAGATGAAGAAGGGTATTTGTGCAAAAAAACCTCAGGTGTTGTTCTCATGGATGTTGAATTTGTAGTCCAGAGAACCCAACTGTATCATTTGCATATCTTTTTCAAACTACTAGCTCAAGTAGCATACCTTTGCTGGAAATTTTGTTGATTCTGCAAATGACTAAAAGATCGAGTTAAATATTTATATCTGATTAAAAATTTTGAAGTTGGCTATGGGCAGACGGTAGCTATATTATTCTATTAATAATATTATGTATATTGTGGGGTTAAAATTGTCCATCTTAACTAGTTGCATATAGGCGTGTCCAATTAAGTTTAAGAACTTTAGTTTGCATATTGATCCGTTAAACTCACCCTATGAGAGAGGGTATTGTTTTTGTGGGTCCATGACTTCCAATAGACTTAAGAATCTATTGTTAATTACCCTATTTCAAGACAAGAGCCTCCGATTAGGAGACCCTCAAGTTAGGACAGATAAATAAAACAAAAATAAAAATGAAGTAAAATGAAATTCATTGATTGCTCACTTATTTACATGGCTTAACTAAGGACATACCCTCAGTTTACTATTTAAAAAGAAATAGATATAACGGTTGAACTTAGACTTGGGTTCGCCTTAGAGAAGTAAATGAAGTTTGGATTTGGGATTACAGTTTAGTCGGGTATTTTTCGTTTAGGGATGTAGAGGTCAAGCTTGATTTGGATTCCAGTTTAGCGACATGAAGGTTAATTTGATTTGTTTTCCAGTTTAGGGATATGGATGTCAACTTGATTTGGCCCAGTAGCGGCGTTGAGGTCAGTTTGATTTGTTTTCCAGTTTAGGGACGTGGAGGTCAAGTTTGAAATTTATTCTAGTTTAACGACGTAGAAGGTCATATTTGGTTTGGATTCTAGTTTAGCGACGTGAATATCAAGTTTAAAATTTATTCTAGTTTAATGATGTAGACGGTCAAGTTTGATTTGGATTCCAGTTTAGCAACTTGGAGGTCAAATTGATTTGTTTTCTAGACAATTCTTTTATTTTGTCAATTGTGGTATCTCATGTTGGTTTATCAATTTTGACAGTTGATTTTGATTTCTCCCAATTTTGACAATTGAGTTTAAATTGTGCATTTTTATCTCGTTTAAAGACTTACGAGTTAGCACAGTTGGATTTATTTTCTTGAGTATTATTTGCGCATATTTTTCTACACAAATAAACTAGTGTAGGATAATTTATACTCTTTTGCATGTCGGGTGATTCGAGCCCATTTGAATATCAGACAATTTAAGTCCATTAGCATCTTGGATAATTTATACTCTCTTGCATATCAGGTGATTTGAGCCAATTTAAATGTTGGACAATTTGGATCCATTGATATCCAGGGTAATTTATGCCCTTTTGCATGTTGAGCGATTTGAGCCCATTTGAATGACTTGGACAATTTGGGTCCTTTCATATCTCGAGTAATTTATACATTTTTGCATGTCGGGTGATTTGAGCCAATTTAAATGTCGGACACTTTGGGTCTATTGATATCTCGGTTAATTTATACCCTTATACATGCCGGCCGGTTTGAGCCCTTTTGAATCTCCGGGAATTTATACCATTCAATGTCTCGAACAATGTGTACCCTTTTGAAACTTGTACTATTTAAGCTGATTGGCATCTCGGGTTGTTTATACCTATTTGCATCTTGAGGACTAAGTTTAGTTTTTGTCTTAAAGCATATTAGATTGAATCATTGGGCCAAAGATTACCTTAATTCTGCTTTTGTTTTAGCTTTTTTCTTCAATGCAAGCTTTATTTCCATTTGACGAAGTGACTGCATACGTTGGTCGATCAGGCTTAGCTTTGTTGTATTATCTTGGATTGATTTGGAAGTTAAGAATGTAAATAATCACATTTTTTGTTGCAACAGGCTAGCCAAAATCCCTTCCACTTGACTACGACGATTATGATCACAACGATAATGATCGTGATGGTTTTGCTACCGAACGCAGCTACAGTGACGAGACGGAGGCTGTACAAACGTTGACCGCACAAGAGCGGCGATGTACAGGGAGTGGCTTTGGCTAGCGGCATTGGCGGCGGACTATCATGACTTCGACAAGCATAAGGGTGACAGAGACGACTCAACTGCTGAACTTCAAAGTTACAATGAATCTTGACGGCAATGAGATGTGGCTAAGAGATTATTTGTAGCTTCAAGCCTTAAACTCCATGCCCTATAGCAAACATTCTTTGGATTCCACAATAAGTTTGGATTCTCAGATCTGCCTTGCTAACAAAGCAGCCAGAGGAAAGTTGTTTCGTTTGTCTCCGTGGAGTTTCAACTGATGCTTGAGATGGAAGCAACATCCCCCTCTTTTTCTTTCTTTTTTCTTTTTTCTTTTTTTTCTTTTTTTTCTTTTTTTTTTTTGTGTGTGATGGAGGCGACTATCACCTCTCCCCTACCTTTTTTTTGGAGACAACTATCATTTCTCTCTCCTATTTTTTTATGGAAGCGCCTATCACTTCTCTCTCTGCCTGGGGATTTTGTTAGTCTCTTTTTAATAGCTGCTCTCGTGTGGCTTTCTTTGCAAAAATCATTTGATTAAAGATTTTTTTTTCTTTAAGGGACTGTTTGGTTTGTTTCCTAGATATAGGGAAATGCATTTCCATGTACAAAAACATAAGTTTTGAGTTTTCTAAACTTTTCCAAGAAATAGATTGTTTCGATTTGGTTCGCACAAAAAAATTGGTGGGAAACCAATGTATTTATTTTTCTTGTGTTTGGTTCGCATGGAAAAAAGGGAAAACTTTTGTTTATATGGCAAAAAGCTGACGTGGCTGCAGTTTTCGTCGATTTCACGAGGTTGAGGAAGGAATTGGGGGAGAGAAAAAAATCTGATGTGGCGGCGATTTTCACCGAGTTTCCCTTCTTCAACCCTAGCGAACCAAAGATGAGAAAAAAAAAACCGATGGAAAGCTTATATCCTACGTGACCACAAAAAATCTGATGTGGAGACGGTGTAAAACTTTTCCACCGAGTTAAAAAACGAACCAAACAGGCCCTAAACATCAAATGCTTTTCCTTTTCCTTTGAAAGAACGTGGTGTTTCGGATAGCAGGTCTTGTTTTTTTTTAAGGATTAATGAGAATCATTAGGGATTTTGTTAATTTGATCTCTCTTGAGATATCGATCTTTTTAAGTAGTCATAAAATATCTTTTAAGCTTCACTCTATAGGTCCCGAGTTCAAATCTCATGCGACTTTTTTTTCATATTTCTTTTTGCGTATTTGTTAGTTCAACATATATATCATGTTTTGCACACATAATGTTTTTGCAAGATGGCTTTGCATTGCTCTAATCTCTAGAATCAAGTGATTGGAGGAAGAAACCTAAACCTCTCATAAACCGACAATTAACTCCCCACTTAGCCAATATGGGACTAAATGGACCCTAACACAGTCCCTCGTCACAATTTCATGAAGATGCATTTCCAAACTATGTCAACATCTACTTCCCAATCACTGATCAAGAAAACTATGCATGAAATCCAATTTCCATCAACCCAAACCCTAAATAGGTAGAAAAGAACAAAAGAAATGTACCTTCCCTTCGAAGTTGCAGGGGAAGCGCCAAAGAGATCTTCATCTCTGATCCGTTTCTTCTCTCTGAGCTTTCCTCTGCATGAACTGGCCGAGACTGTACAAAGAAAACCTCAGATTTTTCAAAATTAGGGTGTTGAGAAAGAAAGAGACGAGACAATTTTGTTGAATTCGATACTCGCCTTCAGATTCTTCAGCGTCGTAGAGCGAGCTCCAGCTTCGCCATTCCTCGATTGATTTTGATTTCTAGGGTTTCAGCGCTTCGAATTTTGATACAAAAGGGGGCGAGCAAAGAGTTTTCAAGGCCTCGTCTTGCTATCGCTTAAAGAGCGGGGGAGCCAACGAGACACTGCGGTTTTAAGTTCTGTTAGTGGGCTTGAAAATGGGCCGAGTATGGGTTTCGTAGAGAGGCTTGGGCTGACAATACAGTAACTCCATTATATAGGGCACATTGCTCCTTTCTATACATGGGCACATGTAATGTTTGCTATCCTCCAAATGCTTAAATTGTTGATTCATACATAGATTTTAAGCATATACATTTACATGTGATAATGATATATTCATGGAATAAGGAGGATTAAAGGCTAATCTAACAAAACTCGGTCGAAAGCAATTAAGAAGGAGAATTATAATAACTAATTTAATTTAAGAGGTAGTTGTACCTAACTGCATTAAAGAATAAGATTCGTGTAGCTGAACATATGAGTTTGTGCACATGAGTTGTTGTTGTACTTAGAAGCTGTTACATGTTTCCGTCCCTAATCTACATAATCCCCTATATGCTCTGTGTTTTAAGCATAATATGCAGGTGCATCCTTCCATTATTATGGGCCGAAG